ATATATATATAGTATCCTGTTATCTAGACTTACATATTAGTCTTGGTAACACTTATAAATTCTTTGGCTTATCTATAGACTATGACATCATTTGAAAATAAAAGCTTTATTCTTTTGTCTAAGTCCTTCATAGTTTATTTCTTCCTCTTGCCATATCGCACCGAAGAAGATTTCCAGCCCAACATTAGATATGAGCAGTGGGAGCAGACGTCTGTGCTCCATCCTGGGGGAGTAGCACTTGGCACTCACCGTCATGAGCAGTGTTGGCTACTGATTTATCCAAATAGATTTGAAAACCCCTTGGTAACCAGAGCCATTGCTCCCGAGTCTTTGGCTTTGAACCTACATCAAGAGTCAACTGTTTTAATTTATAACAATACAACGGTTTATAACACCGTGTTATAATTTTGTACTGCAAATCTTTATTGTATTTAGTTGAGCATAGCCTTGCCAGGACCAAGAGAACATGTAGTCTCTTTTGGTGGAAAACACCATGTACTCTGCATTACCTATTTTAGAAGAGTGACAATCAGAACATGATTCCATCCTTTCAACAGCATAAGCACAGTCACGATGGAGCACAGTTTCTGCCCACAGAGGAATGGCAGCCTACTGGCCCTCATCTGAGACTGCCGTAATGGCCACTCACGGAAGAGCATGAGAGCTAGGAACCTCCATGGAGAAATGGATAAACAAAATGTGGTCATAAAAAATCATTTGCCCATAAAGTACTAGAACATTCAACAGTATGGATGGGCCTCAAGACCATTTTGCTTAAAAATAAGAGAGAAGACATTATAGTTAGTTCAAGAAACCCGTTGTATTAGACCACATATATCGTATGACCCCATTTATATCAAATGTCCAGAATGAGGAAATCCACAGGGACAGCAAGTAGGTTAGTGGTTTCCAGGGAGTCATTAGCGGTTGGGACTCAGGTGCTAATGAGCTCATAGGTATGGGGTTTGTTTTTGGATGGTGAAAATGTAATTGCAATGTTACGTTATTGTTGTGATTGTGATCTTTGTGAATATATTAAAAATCATTGAATTCCATACTTTAGACAGGTGGATTTCACAGTGTGTAAATTATATCTTAATAAGACCGTTTAAGTAAGAGAACATGAGAGCTAAATGAATGGCCAGGTTCGATAACTATGACATTGGGGAAGTTGGGGGTGGGAAACTCTCCCCAGCCAGGTTTCAAAAGGCCACCTCCAAGGAGGCTGAGCCGAGGGGACTGTCTCAGAGGAAGCAAACTGTGGGCCATGTTAAGAGCTGCAGACTGCTCGGGAGTCCTGGGGGAAGACACCAGAGCACTTCAGGGCTAGGCCAGCGATCACACTCCATCATCCACCGACAACCAGAGATCACTGCAGGGGTGGGGTAGGACGCTGTTGAAAGCTGATGATTGCAGCCAAAAGAAGTTGCTGTCAAGATAAAAACTGCCCCAGAAGATTCTGAACAATGAAGTGAAAGTGAGCATGTGCAAGGTGTGCTACTGACACAAGAGTAGCTGCCATCAGCCACTAATACCTACCGATAAAACACTAACTGTGTTCTCCTCTTTCCTTTGCAGACTATAGCCATTGATCTACCTTGGTGAGTACAAACCTTTTCATTTTTTTCTGATGTATAGTTAACTGTCTAATAAAGCTCATGTGGACTATCATTGTTAGAGAAGGCTAATCTCAAGGGGAAAAAAGAAGCCCTATGGTCAGCGGTGACATTTAGATTTTATAGTTCAGCCTGCATGAGCAGGCTCATGTCACCTTTTTTGTTATATTTTTTTTCAAAAATTTGGCTCAGCTGCTCTGTATCCTGAAATGTATTACTGAGAACACAGTTTGCACGTGTTTTCCTCTCTCTGATTTGTCGCTGCCTTTAAAAGGGTCTCCCTTATCTTAGGGATGCACACTGGGTGCCTATGAGGGCCCATGGTGGCACGTAATTGCATGGATGGTGATTGCTTTTTAAATTGATTGGTTAAGCAAAACACTACTGAAAAGGAGATTCCTGGACTACACTCTTAGCAGAAACCAGTTTGTGTCATATGTTCCACACCTCTTAGGGTTCAGGCAACAACAAAATTCCATGGTTTTGATATCCTTAGAAAAAGAAAACTTTAAACACAGTAACTGCCTTGTGATTTACTTAACCAATGTAATTTAAGTTTCCTAGAGACAACAAGGGAATCGAGAGCTTTTGAAGTAGCTGTAGCCTGTGTTCAGGCAGCCCATGAAACACGCTACACACGCTCTGCCTTTAGCACCACAATACTGGCAGCTACATCTTACTCCCTAATTGTATAACCTTGTTTGAAACGCTTTATCTGTGTTCTACAATTATTTTACGGTCATTGGATCAGTTCTTTTGCCCCGGTTGGCCCTTTTCTTTAGATAGAGACCCTTAGTAGCACTATTTCATCTGATCACAAATATTTATGGCTGTTCCTGGCGTGACAGAAGGTATCAGGGTCGCATGGCTGTCTAGCCATAAGGAATGTAAAATGTAATTAACAATTTGTGGAGGTAATAAAGAAGAAAGACTCTACTTGCTGCCTACCAAACTGATTTTGCTAACCATATTCTGTGTTGAAAGTTACATATGCTGAATAGCTACTAGAGTGCATGTCAGTGGTGAGATTAAAGAGGAAGACTTTATTAAAGAAATAACATTTTAGGGATACAGAATTAATTGCAAGAAGGCTGCCACTCTTTCTTGCCTCTGAATTCTAAGCAGAAGTGTTGACTTGTTTATATTGGCTCAAATACAAATTAAATATGATGCCATTCAAAAGAAGTAGTTTTGAGTGATTTATGAATGGGCTTACAATGTTGGAATGAAATGAGGGTCCAACCCCACAGATTCATCTCCTTCTAACTCATGGGAGATGGACTCTGGTTTGTTTCAAGTGTGTGCCTCCTGCACTCATTGATTCTCCATCCAGGGCTGGCTCCTCCTCAGTCATCTTGCCTTCTGCCCATCTCAGGATTTCCCAGCCTCTTGGTCAACTGACCTTCTGCTACTCAGTGATTCAGCAGTTCTCAAGCTGAATTACCTGGTGACAGCTGTTTGCTGGGCTTTTTTGGCCTCCTGAGTATGATCTCAGGCCCAGCAAGAGATTCAGAAGTCAGTGCCTGTCCAGAGGTGATGCGTCTTTCATCCAGGAACCTGTTGCTTACACCTTCTTGCTCACATCCTGGCTGTACAGTAGCCAAAGTAGCCCCCAGCACTTGTCCTCCTCCAGGCCACATCTGTCACCTCCATTTCAGTTCTTTGGAAAACTGCTGAGTTCCTGGGTGAAAAGTGCTTGCAATTTCAGAAATCTTCTTTGGTATTTGAAACACAGCCGTCCTGTCCTTGCTCCTCATCTACCACCTGCGTTTGTAGTCTGCCCAGTGGCTCCAGGATAGATGCTTGGGTTAGCCTTTTAGCCTGTTGCATTTTCATTACTGAACACTTGAAACTTAGTGTAGAACTTCAGGATTTCAAATGATAGAAGTAAATTTACTTTTAACTTGTAGGATTTGAAGCTTGCTTTTCTGCCAGTTAGAAATTGGACTGGGGAGATAGCTCAGCAGTCTAAGTGTCTACCTAGCAAGCGCAAGGACCTGGGTTTGATCCCAAATACTGCATGCTCTGCCTACACCAGAACCCTGGGCATGCCATGACAGCCCCAGAGCACTGGGCCTGGTGGCATATGCCTATAATCCCAGTGGTGGGGAGGCTGATACAGGAGGATCATAGTGAGTTGGAGCTGCCTAGTGAGACTCCATACCTAATAGATAAATAAAGTATTTTTTTAATTGTTAAAAAAAAAGAAGAAAAAAATGTAGGTCCACTTTAAGCAGGGCAGGTAAACTCCCTGAGGTTGGTGGCTGTCACAAACCACCATCCACATCCAGTACACTGACTGCAGGAGAGCCCAGTAGACCCTTGCCAAATGGACACATGAGCCAAAGGGGCCCCTTTTGGTCCTCTCTCTGCCTCTTTGTAGGATAATGGTGAATTTAAATGAGCTGCCCCACAGTCAGCCCTTAGTAAATGCCAGCTACTGTCATCGCTGCTCTTCTTACCACTAACATCATTACTGAATTAAGGCAACTGTTTTCAGCTTTTAAAGAAAGCATTTAACTGGGCTACACTGTGTGCATTAGTACCATAGCGGCAATAATCCCTTTACTAGCAATAATCCTTAACTTTTCATTTAAAAAATCTCTATGTTAATACTTGGCTTTCAGAAAAAGGACTCAATATTTTCCCCTATTGAACTGGATTTCAAGGAATCCATTTAGCGAGCCATCCTTCCCTAGGTCTTCTTTCTCTTTCTTGTAGCTAGCAATAGACTTACGGAAGTAATGTCATGGCCGAAGGTGACCAAAATTCTTTCAACGGAAGAATGTTTGCAACCCAGTGGGTTTCAGTGTCTTAGTTTTTAATGCAATGGAATTTAAGAATTAAGAATTTATGGATAACACATAATTCAGGCTTATATACTTTCTCCAGACTCTTTAAGGACTTATATTTTTATACCACAGGGCATGCACTATGAAGTAAAATTAAAGGACATTGTAACTTGACTATTTCGCTTTGGTTCATAGAGATACCAAAGGAATAAAAGACCACTAAATTAAAGTGCTCACCGGGGAGATGGCTCAGTGGAATAAGCGCTTCCCTGGCAAGCGCAAGGGCCTGAGTTCAATCCCCAGTTCAGCAAAAAAAATAAAAATAAAAATAAAAAATAAGGTTCTAAATTAAAGTGCTCATAGTAAGTGACAGAGAATTTTAATTTTAAGATGTACTTAGGCTAAGTCATACCGAAGCTCGCTGTTCCTCAATGATTTAATGCCTCCTGCTAAACATGTGACTTTTCTGTACCAAGTCATTTTTCTTAGTGTTGGTATGACTGGGCACTATGGCAAAAAAAAAAAAAAAGTAATTTTTATAGTAAGGTTGTAATAGGGCAGATGAGTACCCTGAGGTGGCTCTGAGTTTATAGCAGTTAGAGTGACTGGTTTCAGCTGGTGGAACAGAAACTATCTCTTCTGCTTGCCTCTAGACTACAGAAAGACATAGGAAAGCTGATGAGAATGTTCTAAGGGTGGCCCCTGACTCTCTCCTTTGTTTACACTTGGAATTCCTGTCAGTGCCCAGGAATCCCCTTCTCCAACAGTGTTTCTCCCAATAATAAGAAGGCTCTCCCGCTGCAGTGTGCAACCGGAAGCTGTTAACAGGTGGGATTAGGGTGCCCACAAAGTACTCCCTCAATAGTTTCCATTGCCCAGCCCCCGCTAAAAGGCTCAGAGATCTTCCAAGAAGTGCCTGAGAAGAATCTAGTAGGTAATCCTTTGTCACACAGCACACTAATTAGTCACTGTTTCCACTTAGCGGAAACTCAGGAACTCAGGAAAAACAGGAACACAGCTTTCCCATATAAACTCGCTCCTCCCCGGGCTTGCAGCAGATCCAGTTCAGAGCTGGAATTCTTCTGGAAATCCTTTTTCAGACAACAGAGAAACATGGATTCTCCAAGGCCAGGATGCCTCCCCACAGCCGTCCCAGTAGAACAAGAGGTAAAGGGGAACCGCAGGGGAGGTTTTCTTGTCACTTTAGATTTATAGTGTGCTTACTTGGATTTTAACGCAGTGGAATTGTATGAAACTATACAAGACGAAAATCAGATTAAAGAACATTATCAAGAAGCTTTCGTTAAATGAAAATTTGGCAAGTACCTTTCTTAGCATCATCCAACTCCACTCAGGAAATCTGGGTTTATGTTTCAGGAAGCCATTTCTAATCCAGCACAGCTCAGCCAGTAGTGCACTGGGGATGGCAGAGAGGATGTCTGTTTGGGCCTCTCGGGTTGTCCAATGGCCAAGAATCAAAGGCGAGATTGACCTTTCCAGAAAAACAACCCCTAACTATTGTGGAGGCCCCAGGGTGGCAGTGACTCATGAAAACCCACCCACTGTAAGTTGGATATTTCCTCCTTTAATAAGGAAAGCCACCCTCTTGATTTTCCATCACAAGTGGCTTTGGCAAGTGGCATTTTAGTTAAAAGAGACATAGTGGTAAAGAGTAAGACATGGAGAACAGGATAGTAAGCAGCTCTGTGAAGAGTTTGTCTTGGAGCCCCAAGGCCTGGCTAGCATGCCGAGCAAGCTCTCCCGTCTATGGCATTCACATTGCAGACACTGGTGGCCTTGGCAGCTACAGACTGGCACCAGCTGCCTAAGGGTGGCATCACTCACATGGGAGGGATAAAGACAAGACATGTATAGGTCCTTGTCCTCTTGGGTGTACGAGCTACATGGTGATGTCTCAGATCTACTGGGCCACTGCATCAAGGAATAAGGTCAAATGTCAAATGCAAGAACAGGGAATAATCTCCCTGAGAGAGGAACTTGCCCTCAATAGCAGGCCTGTCTATGGAGAAGCATCCCCAGGGGTGGGGACATGGGGCAACAGAAGATTAAATGCCATCTCTTCATTGATCCCGATCTAACTAAATGACTTTTAAAAACTTATTGTGAGGTGGCCTGGAAAATCTTAGTATGAGGCAAAATTTAGTATAAAGTGTTTAAAAATGTTAGGAACAG